TATCGATTAATAAAGAATATTTCAAACAAAAATTAGACTCATCTAAATTTACAAAGGTACCTATTTTTAAATAATTAAAATTTTTGAGTATCTAAATTGCATATTCTAAATAAACATATAGCTTTATATCCTTCTTTTTATTATTGATAATTAAATTTTAGAGTAATTCTATGGCGAATTGTTCTTCGATTTATCAGATTTAATATTTTGATCATCTTTCAAATAAATTGGAAATTTTTGCATTAATTTAAATTATTAAAAATTGGGCATGAATAAAGTTCAATTAATTACATCTTTCAGAATGACAATTTAAGAGATAGAATATTAAACTTATTCAAAATGGGAATATTTGTAATTTTAATACCAATTTTTCGGTTTTAAAAATATAATAAATATCCTTGAGATTGTTATTTCACATTTCTCTGACTTTAATTTTTCATTGTTCTTATCTAATTTTTTTGAAAATCTCGAAGAATGAATTTACCCAGTTAATAATCTAAATAATTAATTATTAAGCTAAAAGTTCTATTTATCATATATCCAACCTAGGCCACTTCTTAATTTTATTGACTTATGATATTACAATCATCTTGCAAAGCCTAAGAGTTTTTCCAAAAAATCAGTCAATTTTTATTATTATTTTCTAAAGAAACCTTCGAAATATATTAGATTTTATTTGTATTTGAGACCTGAATACATAAAACTTATTTTACTATTTTTATTTTAAGCTTTGCTTTGCTTAATCCTCTTTGGAAATTAAAATTTTGGTAGAATGCCAATAATTAATTAACACTGAATTTAATCTGACTCTTATATTGTTCTGGGGCAGGTTAATCAAAATAAGCTTGAATAAATTATTATTTTTGGTTAATTTGAAAATTATAAATTGATCAAATTCTAAAATGTTAATTGTATTTCTTTTATTCCAGTGATAATAAATCTCCACTACTTAAATAAAGTCATAAGAAAATGAATGAATAATTATTTATAAAGTTTGCTCCTTTACCAGCTGTTGATGCAAATGCAACATAATCTTACTATAATCTTGATATTTTAAGAAAAGTATCTACAAAAGTAATATATTTTGTTTATAGCTTTGAAATTTAATGGAGCGGTTCTATCCTCAGCAAGAGGCTTTCTTTTTCGCGTAAGAAATATTGGCAATATACTTCAAGAAATTCACTCTACAAAAAACTTACACTTGATTTAAGACATATTGACTATCTAGTTGAATCAATAATAGTGTAATTTTAAATAAACACATTAAGATTTTTGGATGTGGGATTATGATGCTCGATAAACACAAATGCAAGTATTCGTATTAACAGCTATACTGGCTTTAAAATTTTCTGATTAATTGGTAGAGAGATTGAATTTTTAGCCAATAATAATGACCATAAATATGTTTTGATTATGAATGTACATAAAATATATAAGAAATAAAATATTCAAGCTTTTGCGTATAGTTGAAGCACATTGCTTAGAAACTAATCTTGATATAAACAATTAAGTAAACTTGTAAAATTTGATGAAAAATTAGCAGTTTAATTTAGATGGAAATAGAACGAATATTTGTATATCTCTGAGTCAATTATTTGGCCATCATATCAAAAGAGGGTTATGAGTGTCTCTTTTTGATTAAATTTTTTATGTTTTTTTTTCATGAAAGGTGTTATGGTTTAAATATAAGTTTTTATGAAAATTTAGCAGATTAATTATCTTTTTGATTTATCTTGTAAGTTGAATTCTGAATTTTCAAATAAAAAACACCTTTTTTTAATAATTATTATATAGCATTAAACTGTCTTTAAATAGAAACGTATTTTAATTTTGGATAATTAAAACTGATAAGATATTTTTGGCTGGAAAAATATTTAATTTATTATAATTTCTAATGAAAGTTGGAATAATTTATTCTCTTGAAATTATAAATGATAAAATAATAGAATAGAATATTCAATTTATTATTTATGAACAATATTGATCCTATGATGAATGAAAATTAACGCATTTAAAATTTGAATACTATGTTCCCTAGAAAGAGAAAATTTAGAGAAATAATAAGAAAAGAATTATTAGAATAACTGTTCAATAATGGAGATAATTTAAGATAAAAATGATATTAGAAAAAACATCATTTATTAATCAATTTGTTTTTCTATATTAAATAAAATCCTCTCTGAAATCAGATAAGATAATACGATTTAAAAAATTATAACAATCATAATACAATAATTTATTTTTTTTAAATTAAATAATTAGAAATCAAAAATCTTAAACCTTGAATAATAATTGGAAAATAATATAAAAGAATTCAACATTGATTCGCCTTAATTACATCAAGTAAATATCTTAGAGTAAGAAGAGAATAATTAAGACTAAAGCCTACAATAATAAATTTGAATGCTTAAGAATTATATCAACTAATTTGACTAATAAATGTAAGATTAAATTAACATATTTCACAAAAAATTAATCAATTATCTAAGAAGAATGAAAAGTATGAAATCTAGAAAATAATCGCCCAAATAGGTAATTTAAAACATTGAATTAACATAAGAAACAGATAAAAATTAAAAAAAAGAATGCAATGTTGCCTTAAATTGCTAATAAGGATTAGACTTGTCTTTTGGTAAACAGTATAACAAAATAAAATCTCCCTGATAACTCAGTTCTTAATTTAATAATAAATTAATGGAACATCTGTTCTAAATACAAACTACTCTAGGTATAATGAAAAAATTCAACCAAAAGTATTTTTGCGTTTAAGGATGTAGAAAGAAAAATATATAATCAACTCCAATTTGCGACATGCATAGCAAAAAAATTCCTATCTGACTCCTAATCTGGAGGAGTAAATCATTAATCAATAATTCATTAACTTTTGAGAATTCTGGCCTCTTGCTAAAATTAAGAGATCATATTTACTTTTTGTTTTGTATGGTTAAGAATTAACTTGCTGATATATATGATATATATGTCTTTAATTTCCATTCTCACCACAAGAATAAGTTCCTTAAACCTAGAACTAATCTGTTTGAATAGACTGTGTGCAGTACATTAGATATTAAAGATGTACTTTAAGTAACTCTTATCTCACTTTCTATATGGAGTTGAATAGCATCCAACACTGATCATCATGTTAAACATTTTGCAGTTGCACATAATTCAACAATTTTGTATAGTGCATTTTGTAAGGTGTCGCCTTGTCTACCATGCACATTACAAATGATGCACTTATTATTAATGTTAGTAACCAAATACTAGACTTTGTCATAAGAATTCTGATTCTACAGCTTGGAAGTCATTTGCAGTTAAATGCTCTCTTACTAATAATATATTTCTGCTTGAAGATTTTTAATAATGTCTATCAATCATGCTATGTATTGCCATCAAAGTACTTACACTAATTCAGACAAGAAAGAGATAATTAATGCCTATTTGAGTTAGATTTTTTATCTTATTCATTTGCTTCAGCTACTTAATGTCATATTTGTATTGATATAGGTAAAAATCCATGCTTACCTTATATCTAACACTTGTTAATCTGGTTTTAGATGGTGATAGCAATCGATTTTACTTTATTATAAATCCACCAGCCTCTTCTGATATAATTGTGATTCATAAACTAAATAGACATTCTAAGCTGACAGAATAAAATGCTTGCAGCAATGTGATAAAAATATAAAAAAGAAGTACCAACATCATGCAAAATTCGTTTCAAAACTTGAAGTACTTGTGAATAGGATATTAGTGAATGCAGTTTCAGATTAACTATTAGACTAGCAATGCACCTATATTTAATGCATATGGTGTGCACTAAGAGCTTCAAAATATCGAGATTCTAGTTAACTTACTTCTTGCGCTTGAGCTTTTGCTATGTAATAATGCTAACAGCGCTAGTCTACATCATATTTGAAATACAAAAGTTGTTATAATATCTGCTTCCAGTTGTCAATATTATTCCAGATGGATTGAGCAATTACTGTAAAATAAAGCTTAACATTATTGTAAATGATCCTCGTTTATCTTCGTGTCCTGCTTTCTGAACAATTCTGCCTTTCATATGTACTTAATAGTTAAGTTTTAAACTTTGTATCGACTGAATAAAATAATAGCTTCTGCATTTCTGTTTCATTGTTAGTAGAACTTACATAGTTCCTAAAAACAAAGGTAGACATTGCATCACATTAATTTATCCTCATTTAATTTTGCATAGGGTGATTTAAGGTTACTTTTTGAGATGCTTTTAAATTTAGTTAAGTGTTAACTGATTGAAATAATTTTTATTGAAATTTGTAACAGATATCATATATGATTATTTTTTCAATAATAGGGATAAACAAACTAATAGTACTAATTTTTATTATTTTATATTTATATTCTGATTATTAAATAACAAATAGTGAGAATTTAATAAGTATTCCAAGCTATACAGAAGCATTTATTTTTGGTACCTATGGCATCATTCAAGAATTAGATATGTTCTAGTTTCGAAAAGGGTCTTTTTCCTTATGAATAATTAGAGTAGTGAGATAAATAGCAAAGGATTATGCCTATTGATTTATTACAACTCCCGACCATCAAATTAGGCATATCAAATATATAGCCATTTAATTTCTACATTAAATTACTTTAAATATATAAGATATCCCTCAATTGTTTCTTTTTCGTATCCTCAAACCCTAATGTAATAAGCATAAATATACTCAACCAAAGGTTACTCCTCCAACAATTATTGACATTTGATTTTTGTAAACATAGTTCATAAATACAAATTGGTATATGAGTTTATAGTTTAATGAAATCAAAATAGCTTTTAGATCAGAGTATTTGGTAATACCTTCTACAGCTTAATTCTTAATGCTAGTAAGAGGCATTTGTGAAAATTAAAATACTCAATATTATATTATATTTGTAATGATTTGTATATAATAATCATCAATTTTATTGGTTTTTCAATCCAATTTAGTTTTCTAAAATTAAACTCCCTTTTGATTAGAATAATTTTCTTATATCTACACCTTAATAATTTACAAACTCTCCTTTATAGATTAAAGCTCCTGAGGCTTCTAAATATGGATTTTAGGAAATTCGAAGAATTGTAAAATTAGATGTAGCTAAATAAAATATAAAATAAATACAATTACTCGTAAGAAAGTTGTTTTTAAATATTGGGGGTTTAAAATATGCTAGAATATCTTTGTCACTAATATCTGAAGGTAGGATTTGTTTTCCTGATTTTACATCCCATAAACGAATTGAGTTATCCTAACTACCAGATACCAATATAGTACTATCAGGAGAGAAAGAGACTGAATAAACCGTTTTAGTGTGGCCACATAATTTGGCATAACAATATTTTTTCTGAACATCCCATAAATAAATAGATTTATCATCACTACCAGATGCTAATGTAGCACCGTCAGCAGAGAAGGAGACTGAATAAACAGTGCTAGTATGACCATTTAATTTAACTTTTTATTATTGTGCCTTAACATCCCATAAGCATATAGTACAATCATAACTACCAGATGCTAATGTAGTGCCATCTGGAGAGAAACAAACTGACATGACATAATTAATATGGCCATATAATTTGGCTTTTTATGATCCGGTCTTAACATCCCATAAACGGATGGAGCGATCATGGCTACCAGATGCTAATGTAGTACCATCAGGAGAGAAACACACAGATCTAACCCATCCAAAATGACCATCTAACTTGGCTTTTTATTATCTCTTCTTAACATCCCACAAATAGATTGAATTATCTCCACTACCAGATGCTAATGTAGCACCATCAAGAGAGAAACAGACTGACAAGACATAATTAACATGACCTATTAATTTGGCTTGTTATTATCCTGTCTTAACATCCCATAATCGAACAGAGTTATCTCCACTACCAGATGCTAAAAAAGTACCATTAGGAGAGAAACAGACTGAATACACATAATTAGTATGACCATTTAATTTGGCTTTCTATTATCCTGTTTTAACATCCCATAGACGAATAGAATTATCATCACTACCAGATGCTTACACAGAACCATCAGGAGAGAAACAGACTGATCTTACCCATCCACTATGACCATATAAATTGGCTTTTATTTATCCTGTTTAAACATTCCATAAACGGATGGAACGATCATGGCTACCAGAAGCTAATGTAGTACCATCAGGAGAAAAACACACAGTTTAAACCCATCCACTATGACTTTCTAATTTAACTTTTTATTATCCTGTCTTAACATCCCATAAACGGATAGAGTTATCATTACTACCAGATGCTAATGTAGTACCATCAGGAGAGAAAGAGACTGATCTTACCCATCCACTATGACCATATAAATTGGCTGTTATTTATTCTCTCTAAACATTCAATAAACGGATAGAGTTATCCTCACAGCCAAATGCTAATGTAGTACCATCAGGAGAAAAACAAACTGTTCTAACACATTAACCATGACCTTCTAAATTGGATTATTAGAATTTTTTCCGAACATTCCAAAAACAGACAGAGTTATCTTCACTACCAGAAGCTAATGTAGTACCATCAGGAGAGAAACAAACTGAATAAATAGAATTAGTATGACAATTTAGTTTGGCTTTTAAATTTTTCGCCTTAATATCCCATACACAAATAAAGATATCTCCACTACCAGATGCTAATGTAGTACCATCTGGAGAGAAACATACTGAATAAACAGTTCCATCATGACCATTAAATTAGGCTTTTTATATTCCTGTCTTAACATCCCATAAGCGGATAGAGTTATCTCCACTACCAGATGCTAATGTAGTCCCATCAGGGGAGTAACAAACCGAACAAACAGTACTAGTATGACCATCGAATTTGGCTTTTAATTAATTTGTATTAACATCCCATAAACTAATGGATCTATCTTCACTGCCAGATGCTAATGTATTTCCATCAGGGGAGAAACAGACTGAACAAACAGGACTAGTATGACCAGCTAATTTGGCTTTTAATTATCTTGCCTTAACATCCCATAAACGGATAGAGTTATCTTCGCTACCAGATGCTAATATATTTTAATCAGGAGAGAAGCAGACTGAAAAAATTATGTTAGCGTGACCATGTAATTTGGCTTTTTATTCTCCTGTTTTAACATCCCATAAACGTATAAAGATATCTCCACTACCAGATGCTAATGTAGTACCATCAGGAGAGAAACAGACTGAATACACAGTTCCAACATGACCATCTAAATTGGCTATTTATTACCTTGTTTTAAAATCCCATAAACGGATGGAATTATCTCCACTACCAGATGCTAATGTAGTACCATCAGGAGAGAAACAGACTGAATACACACTTCCAACATGACCATCTAAATTGGCTATTTATTACCTTGTTTAAAAATCCCATAAACGGATGGAATTATCTCCACTACCAGATGCTAAAGTAATACTATCATTGGAGAAACAGACTGAATACACAGTTCCAACATGACCATCTAAATTGGCTAATTATTATCTTGTCTTCAAATCCCATATGCGGATAGAGTTATCACCACTACCAGATGCTAATGCACTACCATCAGGAGAGAAACAGACTGAATGCACAGTTCCAACATGACCATCTAATTTGGCTATTTATTATCTTGTCTTAAAATCCCATAAACGTATGGAATTATCTCCACTACCAGATGCTAATGTAGTCCCATCAGGGGAGAAGCAGGCTGTATACACTTTCCCAACATGACCATCTAAATTGGCTATTTATTATCCTGTCTTAACATCCCATATGCGGATAGAGCTATCTCCACTACCAGATGCTAATGTAATTCCATCAGTAGAGAAACTGACAGATCTCACTTGTGCACTATGTCCCTCTAAATAGTCATTTTACAATCCTGCCTTAACATCCCATAAATGGATCGAGTTATCTCCACTACCAGATGCTAATTTTGTACCATCAGGAGAGAAACAGACTGAATAGATAGCGTTAGTATGACCATCTAATTTGGCTTTTTATTTTCTTTTCATAATATCCCATAAACGGATAGAATTATCACAACTACCAGATGCTAATGTAATACCATCAGGAGAAAAGCAGACTGAATAAACAGTTCCATCATGACCATCTAAAATGGCTCTTCGCTATCCTGTATTAACGTCCCATAAACGAATAGAGTTATCATTACCACCAGAAGCTAATTTAGTACCATCAGGAGAGAAACAGACTGAATAGATAGCGTTAGTATGACCATCTAATTTGGCTTTTTATTTTCTTTTCATAATATCCCATAAACGGATAGAATTATCACAACTACCAGATGCTAATGTAATACCATCAGGAGAAAAACAGACTGAATAAACAGTTCCATCATGACCATCTAAAATGGCTCTTCGCTATCCTGTATTAACGTCCCATAAACGAATAGACTTATCATCACCACCAGAAGCTAATGTAGTACCATTAGGAGAGAAACAAACTGAATAAACAGTTCCTTTGTGACTTTATATTTCTTATTTTAACATTTCTGTCTTAACATCCAATAAACGAATTGTACTACCATAACTACAAGATGCTATTGTACAACCATCGGATGAGAAACTCACTGATCCAACCTATTCATTATGATCAGCTGATTTTGCTTCTTACTCTCCTACATTAGTATCCCATATACGAATAGAATCATAACTGTCACATGTTTACATAGTATTAGAAGGTAAGAAACAAACGGATCTAACCTATTTACAATTCTCTGTTGATTTGCTTTTTTATTATCCTGATTTCACATCCCATAAACAGATCGAGTTGCCCTCACTTACAGATGCTAATGTACTACCATCAGGAGAGAAACATACTGATCTAACAGTGTCTGTATGACCAGATAATTTATTTAACTAATCTATTTTGATATTCTTCCATATACAATTGAACATTTAGGCACCATTTAAGTTCATTCCGCTTATATCTACGTTCATAAAATTAGACCCATTTAAATTGCATCCTATCATATTAGCACCAATTAAGGAAGTATCCCTAATTCTAATATTCTCAAATCTGTGTTCCTTTACATCCACCTTCATCTCAACTAATAAATTGAGGGAGTTTGATCCGCATTAAATAAATTTCTCATCAATGGCTGTAAGTTGAACAAGGAATTCAAGAAACTCAATAATTTTCTTATCATTTGATATTTTAGAGATGATATCCTTTTTTTTTTTTTTGTAATTATCAGCTGAATAATTCCTCTTATTAAACTCAATCTCACTAATATTTTTGATAACTTTTGTAATTAAATTCCAGTTTTAGTTATTACAATTCTTAGTTAGAAATCCTATACAATCTGAAATTTTTTCTAATTTCAATTTTTCAATAACAACATCAAATATTTATCTATCAACATCTTTTGATAACACTAACACATCATACAATATCTGCAATTCATAAACATCTTCAAGTTCTTAAATAATTTCATCAATGGTGATTCTTTTCACATCATTATTCAATTTTTATTCTTTATCTAATCTTTTAACAATCATTTTTGATAGTAACTTTTTTTGCCATTCTTCTAAATCTTAGCTTGCTCTTATTCTTTCATTGATTTATATTTGCGTTATTTCACGTAATTCATTAATTATTTCAGTTTTTAAATTAAAAAAAAATTCAACACCCAGGAAGACCTTATAAAAAACCATACCCAAAGACCAAATATCAACAGAAAAGTCATAATCATTTGATAATACATCTGGAGCCATATATTAAAATGTTCCTTGCAATTGGGTTTGTAATTTCTCTTCAATTTTTTTTGAGATTCCAAAATCAATCAATTTGATTTTATTATCTTTACCCATTACAAAATTATCTGGTTTTAAATCTCTATGATAAAATCCTAATTTATGTAATTCTGAAACTCCTTTCGCCATCTAAAATATAGATATTTTTACTTGCAAGCAGGTTGTTGTTTTATTCTATATTTTTTTAAAATCAATCTTTTCTCCTAATTCCATAATAATGTAAGCCGCTTATTTTTACTCTTCAAAAGCAATCACTTCAATAATATGATCAAATCGTTTTCCTTTAAGAGCCTATAAAATCTGGCATTCAAATTCAGAAATACCCTTTTATACCTTTACTGCAACACATCTACCCCCACCAATTACTCCTGTAAAAACTGATCCAAAATTTCCTATATATGGAGGATTCAAGTGATTAATCGTCACAGTAATTGTTTCAACTAACATTAAAATTTTAATTCTATTTAGTTAAAAATAATATGAAAACTAAATTTGGGTGACACTCATTTAAGAAATCTAGATTATGTGTTTAAATTTTGGCCAAAAAAGTGTGAATGTAAAGCATGGGAAAAAATAAAAATATTAGCCTAAAATTATTGATATTTATAATATTAAGCATATAAAATGACAATAATGTTTTGAGGTTGATCTTGACTAACATGTAACTGTCTCTCTAAGATTCCAGTAAATGGTCGGGACTGTTAGGAAAAATAAAATTTAGATGATTCACTCTAGGGGTTGGCGATGAAATAGAAGCTGGATTGACAATCAAATAGGAGATTAATTTGTGAATGAAATTTACAATGAGTTAAATAGGGGATATATAGGAGATAAATAGGGAAAAATATGGGACAAATATTGAAAAAAATAGTGGGATATAAGAAGTGAAGAAAATGTACTGAAAAATAAATAAATAAGGAATAAAATAAGGAATAAAATAAGGAATGAAATTAGACTTTAAAAATACTATGCATAAGAAAAAAAATATGGAAAGTAGCTCTGAAATATATGATTAACAAGATTAAAATTAGGAGATGCAATATGTAATGAAATATTTGTTGAGCAAAATAGGGGATGAAATTAGAGATAAAATCTATGACGAACATTGAAATATATAATAAAAAACAAAATTAAAAAGGAAATAAATAAGGAAAAATTATGAAATACATGGTGAACAAAATAATAAATAGGGGACTAAATAGGCGAAGAAATCGGTTATTACCAAAAGTAATAAACTATAAGATGATATAGGGTATGTAATAGCCAAAAAAAAGGGGATGAAAGATACGATGAAATAGGTGTTGAAATAGGGAATATCATTTCCTATTTTTACATAAAACAATAAGTATTTATCAAAAATGATGGCACCAAGAACATATAAAATTGTATTCAAGGTTCTTAAATAAGAATACTATATTACAACTTGAAAATGAATAAAGCCAAAATTTTTTATATTGATATTTATCAATAATTTACATATGATAAGTTATTTTACTTGACTTTATTTAAAATAAGTAAGTAATCTAATAATGACATAAAAATATAAATTAGATCCTCTTTTATAATTAATGAACACTTTTTTCATTATTTTTTTTTCTAAATTTTAACATCTGAGTCACTAGCTGTAAATTATCTTACAATACTTCAAATTTCTTGAGGAATCTAGTTATCCTAAGTATTTCAAAGGGATCCTTTTAATCTAATTTGTCCTAATCATAATTGCCTTTCTATTCAATGCAAATTTAAAGGGGAGAGATGGAACCTAATCATCAATGCTTCGAGTTCATATTTTTAACCATAATCATGGATACAAAATCATTATTGTGCAACTTACACTTATATGCATATCAGGATAGTGTCAATTCAATCCAAAGTGCACCAGCCTTTATGCATCTACATGGGATAACCTCTTTAGAATTACTTTAGATGATATAATAATCCCTGTAAGCATCAATGCTTCTTGGATTGTGGGAGGACTTTAGCACCATAGTGAAAACTAATTTGATAAATCTTAGTGCAATTATAAATAATAATATTACATACAATAAACATAGTACTTTACCCACATAAATAACATTCATAGAATTTTCAGAATAAGTCTTTAATTAACAAAAATTGCTCTGAAAAAACTTGAAATTTAGAGAATTAAATTATATTATCTTAGTATTAAACTAGATGGAGTGAATCTAATCATTTATCAATGTGCTTTATTCCCTTATATGTTTCGATAATATTAATATATATTTATTTGGTCAATTAAAAGATAATAAAAAACTTGATTTTAATTTCAAAATTTTTTCGATTTTACTGAACTTTTGATTGATTAAAATAAATAAAATTTGTGTTTTGATTCTGAATCATATAATTTGAATTTTTATATTAAAATACACTTATTCTATAAATTTGATTTTAGTCGTTCAAATATTCTTTTATGCATTAAATCTTTCTTAACTGAAATTTATGATTATTATTATTATTCCTGTTAAGGAACTAAACACACATTAATAATTCATTCTATGATATTTTGATTAATTTCTGTTATTGCTTGTTCTACTCGTTTTTTCAACTTGATAGTTTTGCTTTTCTATCTGCTCCTCTTGAGGATTGCCTGTAATTCTTAAAATTTAATCCCAAAATCTTATTCAATTATGGCAAGTCATTCATCTTACATTTATGGGTATTGCAATTTTCCTTAATAATAGTATAAATCGTTTAGGTTTTTAGGAACCTGACTATATCTGTTAGATTTGATTAATATGTTAGTGATATGGTTCGGTGTAGATTTTTGCAATCTGGTTATGATCTTTAGAGATTTCTTTATACATTTATTATATCATTCTTTGGAGTTATTCTAATGGGTTGTATAAATAGCTAAATTCGAATAGGTGATATGTGAATTTATGTATATTTTCCAGAGGATAATTCTTTGTTTGATATCCATTTTAGAGGAGATCTAACATTCAGCTCCTGATTCAGTTTTAAAGATAAATCTTATAAGAAAGCATCCAAGTAAATATTGAATAGTGATGGTGATAATGGGGATCCTTAATCGACTTCATCTTTACACCACCATTTTTTTTTTCTTTGATAGGGTCTTAATAATGAAGTAATGAGTACAGTCCTTTTAGGAATGTTAATTCGTTCAAGTTTAATACTTATTTTTCTTCTAAAATTTAAATAACTTTCTTCCTCTCCTTTCTATTTACACTGTCTAAGTAAGAGATTAATTTTTCTATATTTACTTATGTTCCTCTATTAGATATGAAGTCATTTTGTTCATATTTTAGATGCTGCTAGCAAAAATTTTTAAATCTTGCTTAAGAATTTGAATTCTAAGAATTTGAATAATGGGCTAAGTAGTGTGATAGGGCTAAATTGCTATTTTGAGAACATACATTATTCAGTGGGACTACACGAGCCTGACCATTATATTTATTTATTTGGCGAGTATTAACATTCCAGAGATCTTTTAAAATGTTTAGATTTTTTGTTTTCCTAATAAAAGTGTCTGATATACCATCTATAGTAATAGCTTTATCTTTTGACATGAGTTTTTATAGCTTTTGAATCTCTTCATTTGACATAGGAGGCAAATTAGTGAGGGAAAGAGGCTGATATATATTTCTCTGAGAAATTCTGCCTAATTCTTGTAGTGCATTATATTCAGTATCTGGGTAAGTATGTATATTAACTTGGTCATCCTTGAAGCATCTAAAGATGCCAGCTTCCTTTTTTGAGGGATTAAGAGTTGCCATTCTTAGTATATTTTGGAAAGCTCACTTGGAGTTTGGTTGATGAAATAATGAAGCCATTTTCATAAGTTATTCTTTAATCATTAATTTTCTTCTAGCCTGATTTGGTAAAGTTACACGGAGCTTTTTAATTTCTTGTCGTTTTCTTAGATTATTTCTTACAAAATTGTACCATGTTTAAAAATCGTTACATTTTAATGCTGCTTCTTAATTTAGGTTATAAGAGTTCGTCTTACTCCAGCTAATCCTATGTTTATTCTGATTTTAAACTCCTTATAGAGTTAGTTGACAGCAAATGATCTGAGAGTTTAGTATTACATTACCTTTCCTAAGATTTTTTGAGCGAATGTCAGGTCTGATTATCCCATCATGTTAGTCAATTAGTCGAAACGTACGTTATTATGATTATAATCTCTGCATGTAATGATTCTTTTGTTTTTAAAATTACTTTTTGAACATTAGTTCTTATATTCATTGATTTAAAACATTCTTATTCTTATTAAATATTTATTTGTTTAGGGATGTAGAAAATCAGAATGATTAAATCTAAGCAGCTGTTTCTACAATTATAGCAATATAGTCATAATCTGTTAGATTAGGAGGAATATCCGAGATGTCAGTAAAATCAAAACAAGAGTGTATTCCAATAGCCAATCCTCCTTAGTTTTCACTCTTCCCTTCTTTAATAAACAAAGGTGCACGAAGGAAAGTTTTGGATAGATTTTATCGGTTCTCTTATAGACAAAGAATATGTGGTTAGTTTTACCTTTCTTTATTGAGTCAACAGTCCAACTTGTTTTCTGAGAGTGTGTTTGGTTGTGTTATAGTAATTGAGGGAAACGATCTAATCAATTTTATTGCTTGGTTTCCTTAAGACAAGCTCTAGTTCACCTACCTAGAATTGCCTCTAAATCTGGCTGAATTCTTTGCTAGCACTCAACCTTAAGCTTTATTATTCCTTCTTCTTTAACCAAAAGGAAAGTAACCTTGAGGGAACTCTCTGAATTTTTTTCCCTCTATTGTAACCAGGTTATGGTTAAGAATTGTTTTCATAATTGTTAAACGGCCCATTAAACTAACTATATAACCTCAATTAGTTATTAAATTATCCCCCATACATCCTTTAATTGCCCATTAGATTTTTTTAATCCAAACATCTCTTATTTATTATAGGGTTGACAGTTTCTATCCCAATAGATTCTAAGATTATTATTGAATCCTTTTCAATTCACTAATTGATCCATTCTTTCTGTAAAGGTGCACAATTTAATCATAATTATCTAACCCGAAATTAAAATATTTTCTCTTGCTTGCACCATATATATGAATATATATTTTAGCACATGTTGCCAAGTACTTCACATATTCGTTGGTTATGACTCCTTCAAGTAAATCAATAGAGATTCTCTCCCTATATTTATGAAAAAACTCAGAAAGGCTATCTTTCATCTCCAATCTATTCAAGTTGGTGATTTCAGCAATATCTGCCACAATATCCTTACTCTGGTTATTTCCAATGCTGGTTATTCTTCCATAATTTCTTAATTATCTTATTCATCCTAGTCTTCTCTTAAAAGCATCCCAATAGGTTCATATAATTCTTGGATGTCTTTTTGTGTTGAATTTATTTTTATTCCATCTCACCAACCTTTCCGAATAATTATTAGATCTCAGTAGTTTTATTTTTTTCCACCATCTGTATCGCTTTCCAAGTTTATTCAATTGCTGCTATAAATCTAGTGAATAGATTTCTTGCAGTTTCTTCTATCAAAGATTATACTTATTCCTTAATGATACTTACTAGTTATTATTATTATTCTTCCACCATTGGCTGCAAATTTGTCAATGAGCTTGCTTGTGGGGTTTAAGAATTGCAATAGTGATGTTTGCACTAAATTAGCAATACTCATCACATATTAAATTTAAATATATAATTTATAATTATTAAGAGTTACACATAGAACTAAATCTTACTACCAATTAATTTTTATTGACTTTTTCAATAAATTATAGAAGTTCATTAAATTGCATTGTAAAGTTTTAATCTTTCATAAAATATTGAAAAAAGATTAATTTGATGGTTCCAAGCATCTTAAATTAGAAGACTCAATGCAAGAAGTGGCTGCTAATAATAATTAATTATTCAAAGCCTTCCTAAGTAATAATGGAACTTTTTTGATCATTCCTTCTTAATATTAGTCTTTTAAATTTGATGGATAAGTATATTTCTGAAAATATCAAATACGTTTGAATTTTCTTTGTCTTCACTGCACTAAATTTTTAATTGTTGACTCATCAAGGTGAGCCAATTGCTCTTCTTTCTTGTATTTAATGGACTTTAGAACACTTTATTCCTAATTGTAAACATCTGGTCCGTTCAACTATAGAGAAACATAACTAAGCATCTGCATATTTTACTCTTGAAACACTAATATCATCTATATAGAGGATATCTAAAAATGCCAATACTACTTAAACCTTATTTTCAAATGTTAACTATGAATATTTTATATTATTAGATAAATCTGCTTGGATAGTTTAAGATGACTTGCTTGAGGCTGTAACTCTTGAAACTCTTCATGAGTAAAACCCTTTGCTATTCTTGGAGATTTTCATCAATAGCAACCTATTCTTATGGTAGTGTGACAATACTTGATTTCATAAATTCTCCTCTTCTCCTGGATGCTCATAGTTCCTATCATGTTCAGTGTTGCTTTGTTAATAAATTTTATCCTATCCTTCATGCGCATTTTGAGAGGATATGCCTTTGATAGCTATGCTATGCTCAAGACATAAGCACACGCTGTAAAAATAGGACTCCAAAATAACATTATTATGGGTATCCATTTTATAATAGGTGGTGAAACTCAAAACATTTGCTAGCAATGGTAAGGCATAATTAGACAATGAGACATAATAACGTCAATTAATTTTTTATATCCACTTGGCATTTAATGTTGAAACTACTATTTAAGTTCAAAAATTTTTACTGAATTGATCTACAATAACTTTGAATTTTTTGTATTCGTGTAAGCAAAATTATTAATGTTGTTGCTCCGCTTGTTATCTTCTTTTAATGCTATCAATTTTTAACTTATTGTATGCATGTTTAATTTATGTTCACCCTATTTAAATTGTTAAGGTTGATAATTCTCCTTCGCCATTGCCAGCATCTGTATCTTAACCTAAACTTTTGAAAATATTTAAATGAAGCACCACCTTCTTTTTTGATGTTATTTTTAATGTCATGGCTCACATAAACTTATACAGCATCGAACATTTTTCATGAGAGATGGTTGCTTACTAGCTTTTTATTTTTGCATTAATTGTAGCACAAACTATTGTGTCAATTCATGTTCTCATTCTTAAAGCGATTTCAAATGTATTATTCTCCACAATTATATTTCATATAGCTGTTCATACAGATATTTAACTAAACCTGCTATACATATTATGGAGATTCAGTCTGAATCCATTCTTTTGATGAAATACATCACGCGAGAAAATAATCTCCGCTCCATAAGCCAATATTAAGATAATCGATCAGCATATTCTATGTATTTCATGCTCCAAATTGTTATCTCCATCTTGTGTAACATATGCTTAAATCTGTTAATTAACCTGATATGAGCCTCCAGTACTTCCCTACCTTGTATACCTCTTATTAATGATATTTGTGTACCTAGCAGTGCAAAATAAACTCTATAGCTAAGCTAAAATAACAGACAATTATTCTAAATTCGCTTTCTTATCTGTAACCTAACTCTACTTGAAAGAACTGGACATGCAATTATTAGAATCCTATATACTGATGACTGGACTTGCTATCCATCCTGAAATGCATTGAGGAGAAATGTTATTCCTTTCTTGTGGATTTTATTTTCATATAACATCAGCTTGCCTCTTGGAATCATTAATCAAGTAATTTCTTCTATTTTGTTACGGCTTAAAACACTTTTAATTTCCTCTCTATTTAATGAGTGAATTTATATTATGCAGAATGAATGCTCTAAACGCAGATATTGACTGGTGAGAGGTGCTAAGGATTAATTGTAGTTTGTAGCAGAATAATTCAAATTCTTAGGTTGCTTAATTAATAGTGTTGACAATATTAAAGTTCAATCTCAACCTTCTGAAACAATTTCAAGTACTGAGCTCTTTGAAAACAGTAGCCTAAAATGTTAATTTTATTTTATCTAAAATGCATTTTCCACTCTTTAGTGCTTGGACTCTCTTGTAAAAAGTATAATTGAAATAAAACCATTAGTAGGGTAATAAAGTATTATCCAGTAGGTTATTTTCTGATACTGTAGTTGCGATCAATCATTCTTTTTGGATTTAATGCATATCCATTTGAGGAGATGCTTATAATTTGTTCAGAGATTTATGTAACAATCCAGAATATATTTCAAACCACCTAACTTGTTATTCCTATAATAAAAATATCTCAACAACTGTTGAATACTGCGCTTGGAGCTTCAATTGAAATTATTCGGAATAGTATTTATCATCTCAAATGTTGAAATCTTGCCCATATAGTCTCCAAAGTATTATAGCCTCATCTAACTAATATATCTATTGAAATCAAAAAGACATTGTGATAATTTCCTTTCAATTTGTGGGTTAACCAGAAGATTTATTCAAACGTTTTTTTCCTCAAGTGCAAATTAAGATTTAACTCCTATATGTCTTTTATTCATAACCCATATTCTTTTCAATTGCCTCCTAAATTTGTTTAATGCTCACAAAACTTTTGGACATTAATCTGCTAAACCATTAGTATAATGTAAAACAATCACTAGCCTCTATGTTTTAATTGAGATATTCTTTTTGAAGCAATTTCCTTTAAATTATATAATTTCAAACTAACCGCAATTGTCTGAAAGGATAGGTGTGTACACAGCCTTGCGTTTGATGTCCAAATATATTCTTTGTCTTATATCAATTTTTCGGCTGCTGAATCAAATAGTATTGCAGCCTTTTGTATCAATATATAGCTATCGTGATAAATACTCATAATATCTTTATTACAATATTGATATCGGCTTGAACAACTACCTATGTAAATAAGTTTTCATGTACTATAACATATCTAGTTGACTTAGTCATTATATATTGATATTCTATTGGTGAATGAGAGACCTGTTAAACCATTTTTAACTCCGTAGTTTATCAGCTCTCCTTTAAAAACATGTGGCACTTGTTAAAGTTTATCGTAAACTTGTATTTTGATGTCAATTATTGATATCCAGCTTGATTTGCTGTAATTGCAGCAGAACACATTTTCTGTATTAATACTTAATTAGGGCTATTATAATAATACATAATATTCTTATCTCGTAGCCTTGCTTGGTAACGCTGAAAATTACCAATAATCGATTAAACAGGATCAGCAAAATCAATCACGCTGGATGGAGTTTGTCTGAATCCAGAACTGACTTTAACACTGGTTAGCCAAAATAAACTATAAAACCTTCAGCTTTCCTGTTATCTTCAGGAAGCATGATTCATCTTGTAAAAAATATTAGAAATGCTATCAGTGATACATTTATGCTTGATGGTTATGCTGGAACACGTTAATAATCGGCTTATATATTTATTTTGGATCTAACTTTCACAAATTGGTGATTGTTTTCTTTGTTTGAAAATGAGATTCAAATTTTCACATTTGCTTCCTTCAAATATTATCCTCCAACTATTTATTTGGTGATTAATGGAAGTTTCTCCTATAACTATTTCATATCCATGTTTGCTATGGCAGATTAATATTTAGTAATCTCTCTTTCTAACTCTTTGGCTAAATCTATACTTAAATCTCGAAAGAATGATTGTGAAAACAATTTGAGCTGCTTTTTCAGATAATAGAGTTCAGATAGGTGACTTAAGCCAGCAGCATACAGATTGTTATTGCAGTGGTGATTTGATGCAGTTATTAAAGTTGATGATGCACGGATTATTATTCTTATATTACAACCTTAGGATAGTTGCTCTACCCAACACATATATTATAACATCATAGCTGCAAATCTGATATACTGAATTGTGAAATAATACATCAAATAACCCTTATATCCTCGAAGATTAATATTCTGTCCTTAGTTATCATTAAGCAACTATGTCACTAAGTTTTAAAAATTATATCTTTAGTTATTATTGACATATATGATATATCAGTAAATAGGAGTAGTGTAAATTGCAGTTAAAGCTCTCACACTTGGGAGGATACTACATAGTGCTTATTTGGGTACCTGTCATACTTTAAACTCTTTTTGAATGAAGACACCTTTTATATCACGTACACCCTTCATTCCCTTGCTATTTATCCTTTTTGTATAATAATAATATTATATTCTTGTCAGCACTACTCCTTTGCATAATAGAATTTCATGGATAAAATTTATCACCTTCTTTTTGCACAACTGTCAAGGTAATGTGATAACTCGCATACAAAATTGTAGTTTTATTATGATTGCAAATCTAAAGAGAGTTTATCAGGCAAATAGAGGCAGCTTTTACATGTCATAAAATACAATATTTATATTTCTTAATAATGCTTACTACATTTATAACTGATATTATATTGATTACATATGAGAGCAAAAAGTCAAGTCTTTCTTAAGAAAGTAAAAAGAATTTATAATACAAATGAACCTTTTTAGTTAATCGCTAGTTATTTGAAGGCAAAAAAATTTGGATCTCTTAGCATCTTTTCAGTCAAGTCATAAAGATCTTGCGAATTATTAATGCATTAATTGATATGCAAATATAGCGTTTCTAAATGTATTAAATACTCAAAAGCGAAATGCTAACCTTAAAGTATATTGTAGTTGCATATGATATTACTTCTGATCATTAAATAGAAATCCTCTCAAATTCATGAGAGATCAGCAACTTTATTGTAGCTTCTAATTTTTTTCTATTTCTGTACCTTCTTAATAGTTGCTTATAACCTTTAAAGCAAGGGTAGTGAATTGGTGCTCTTCTTTGATATTTTCTCGGCTATCTATACAATAAATGCTCAAAGCATGCTTAGGTGCTATATGCACTCTATTGATTAAGGCCACAATAATAATTATGAAACTTGACTCATATAATAATTACGTGAAGTATATATAAGTTGACTAAAACCCCTAATAAATTGATAATCTGTACTGATATCTGAAGATGATATCAGTATAAATCGAGTCCAAATTTTTGCAATCGACCAAATTTAATGTGAAGCCACGCATGGTTATTTTTTTATCATACTTGCTAATTATTATTTCTATGTTTCGTATTGTCTCAAATACATGAATGATCATTGTTACACTGGTAGATTGTAAATCTTATAACATATGATAGAGATACGAAGCTCATTATGCATTGAGAAGGAGACATCACACTTCTACTACTTAATTTATTGGTATAGAGTTTGCATTAACTGTCTATCACCAATTAAAGTGGGTTATGCATGGTAAATTGCATTAGACTAGCAAAATATTGCTATATAAAAGAAATCCTAAAATCTTGATGCATTCACATCAAACTTGAGGTCCTTACTCAGGTAACATGTAGCAATTGTATTGCTTTTTCTGTTCTACACAAGAATTAAATTATATGTTGAGGTTGCTTGGCGTTGGCAACAACCATAGCGACTAATGATTTGAACATGTTCTTTCTATATTTTTAATTATGCTACTGAAAGAAGTGATTTGATGATAGCTTCATAGCTTCATAGCTTCATTGATAATGTTGCTTAAGCTCGATTCATTTGAATGTATATATTATCAAATAGTAATCTGTTATGTTAATTGCAAAGAGATAGGCCATGTTAGTATCATCCTTTGTTAAA